AAAAAAAAAAATCTTCTCTCTCCTCTTTTCTTCTTCCATCTTCTACTACATTTTTCTTCTGCCCCCAATTTTATTTTTCTCTCCTCTTTTCTTCTTCCATCTTCTACAACATTTTCCTTTTCCCCTAATTTTATTCCTCTCTCCTCTTTTTTCTTTAAACTTCATTAATAGTGTCATCTTCTTAGCCCAAATTTCTTCAAACTTCATTAATGGTTTACTTTTGGAAATTTATGTTCTATGAATTTTATGTTGAATTCAAGCTTATTCGGTGAAGATTTTGATTATATAACTTGTAAGTTGTTAAATTTTATTACTTAATTTTTTGTTTAATTGAAGAACGAAAAACAAATTGTTTTTGTGTATAGTGGTGGTTTCATGGGTGGGTAGTGGTGGTTTCGTGGCTGGGTAGTGGTGGTTTCGTGGTTCTGGGTTCTAGATCTGGTTTCGTTGGTGGTTTAGGTTGGTAGTGGTTCGTTGGTGGTGGTTGTTGGTGGTAGTTTTTTGTTGGTGGTGGGTAAGGGGTTACTAGATCCAGTCAGGGGTTACTAGGTCGGCGGTCAGGGGTTCCTAGGGGTTACTAGGTTGGGGGTTACTAGATTGGTTCGGGGTTACTTGGGGTTACTAAGTCAGGAGTTACTAGGTCGGCGGTCAGGGGTTACTTGGGGTTACTAGGTCCGTTAGGGGTTACTTGGGCTTACTAGGTCGGGAGTTACTTGGGGTTACTAGGTCAGGGTCTAGTCAAGGGTTACTAGGTCCGGTCAGGGGGTACTAGGTCGGCGGTCAGGGGTTACTAGGTTGGGGGTTACTAGATCAGTTAGGGGTTACTAGGTCGGCGGTCAGGGGTTACTTGGGGTTACTAGGGGTTACTAGGTCGGGGGTTACTTGGGGTTACTAGGGGTTACTAGGTCGGGGGTAACTAGGTCAGGGGTTACTAGGTCGGTCAGGGCCCTCAGGGGTTACTAGGTCAAGGGTTATTAAGTCAGTCAGGGGTTACTTTTGTCTTGGGGTTACTTTGTCTGGGGGGTTACTATGTCATTTGCTGATTTGGTACCCTGCCGCATGGTGCGGCAAGCCGCACCAGAAACGCACTGTTCTGTTATCTTTGTAACCATAGTTGTTCCTAGGTATAAATAGCATAATTAGACATTATAATACTCATGTACACACACTCATACATCAATAGAAACGGATTACTCTACTTATTCTCTCAGGACCGTGTCCTTGCTGAACAAGGAAGTCCGTCCTTTCTTAGTATTGTATCTCTAAACTTAATCTTCTTAATATAACCATTTACTCATTGCTTTATTGTTTCTCTTTGTTATTGTATTTGATATTTATGGTTTGATTGTTATTACCCCTAAATCCCCAAGCAAATTCCTAGATGCCTTTCCTAAAATTTTCCTAAACACCGCCCCACTTCATACCCGCCCCATCCCCACCTAATACCCACATCTATATATCCTTAAAGCAAAATTATATACTTCTATACTACTTTATAAAATAATTACGTGAAATAAAATATTAATTATAATACTTTGTACTATACTTATATTATAAACAAAAATGTATGTAATTTTAAGAATGTTTTTATTATTATTATTATTATTATTATTATTATTATTATTATTATTATTATTCGTATTAATTACGTAGGATTATGTATTTGAGAGACAGAGATTAGGTGGGGATTAGGTGGGTCTTTGGTGGGGATAAGGTAGGAATGAATATCCAAGTGGGGGGTGGGACGGGGATTGTTTTGGAGTTGTACCCGCGGGGACGGGGGTGTGGATGAATATTGGACCCGTCGCAGGGATGGGGATGGGTATGAAAATGTTAGGTGGGGATGGGGATGAGGATGGGAAGGATAACATCTGACCCGCCCCGCTCTATTGACATCCCTATGCGCCATATCTAGATATATATATATTCAAAAGTCTTTTTGGTTTGACCCTATGTTACAACTTTAATTGTTGGTAGGATTGTTGAGGGTAAATATATTAACAAATATTTTTATGAGCATTAATATTTGCACACTTATTTATACAATAGTTAAAAAAAAAAAAAAAAAAAAAAGAGGCAATTAACATTAATAAGGGAAAATAAGTAAAAAAACAGTTTAAATCATTATTCAAATACTATTCGTTAGCTAAAACTGTTTGAAAGGTAGAGACAATAATTATTTAAGTTTAAAACCAAAAAAATAGAGCAAATATATAAATGAAAGGTAAATGTGTACATATAGATTTTAAAGGCTTAATCGTCTCAACATTATTCATAAAAATTTAGTCATACTTTTAAAAAAGGATAAATATGTAAATAAACATTTTTAGGTGCATAATCATCTCAACAATGTTCATAAGAGTTTAGTACTTTTTAAAAGGTAAGAAAGGCTTGCTTGAAAATAACATTTATGAGCTAATTGAAGATGTAAATTAAAACAATTTCATTGAGACTACCAATAAAGACATTTTTTCATTGCCAAGAGTGAAGCTCTGATCTCTCTCTATATCATTAAAAAAAGAGAAAAAAAAAAATTAATCTCATAATTTTCTATCGTAGAATCGTACAATCATACAAGGTTACTTTAATCACTCAAAAGAGGAAATTACTAGTAATACATTGTGCAGCGGATAAATTCAAGTTCCTTGATTTTATTTTATTTTTTATATGACAAAATGAAAATAATAAAGTGACACAAAAAATTAATGCATGAAGTTGTGAGATCAGATAAAGTGAAATGTTAATCTCTGATATTAACTAGGGCTCCCAGCCGTCAATCATTAAATAAAGCATGCAAATTAAAAGCACCCTAATGTTTACAAAAGTTGTTATTATCTTAGAGAGCATTTGAGAATTAGTGAAAGAAAACATAGAAGATTTAGGTATGAATTTAAGTTGATAAAACTCTTCAACAACCATTGATTCTCTCACCCTTCAAAGCATCGATCTATATAAATAACAAGGTCAAAGACTGATAGTAACTAAAGTTGCAATCTCGCAACAATTTGTCTCAATTGTGATTCAATATTGAATTTGAATTGCTTGATGTTCAAAATTTTATCAATTTAGGAGGATGGAAGGCATAACTACCTATGGAGAGCTCAATGTAAGAACACCCAGAAAAAATAATAGAGTTTCTTTTTTTAAGAAATGGAGTTATTCTGTTGTACATACTCGTGTCAAAGTGGAGCTTGGTGATGGAAAAGTTTACAGTACGAGAATCGAAAATGTAAAATCTCCATAAAATTCAATTGTATTATTAGAGCATTCACTACTATGTACAAAAAAATGCTCATGAGTAAAAATATTGAGGAAAAAGCAAAATAAAGTTACATGTGCCATATTCTCCTATATTTACACCAATGAGCAATTTGAGAAATGCTCATGAGCAAAACCAAAAATGCTCCTAGGATGAGCAAAAAAATTGATGATGGAACTCTCATTAAAAACTAACTAAATCTTTTTTACTTTCCTCACCCCCAAAATGATGTGTTTTGAATGGGAAAGCACATAGAATACCCGCCCATCATAACGATGCGTTTAAATGGTGTGGAGAAAAAAAAAAAATTGTTTTAGAAATTTTTGGCATTTTTATGATAATAAAACCAATACTTTTGACAATAAAATCATAAAATATAACAATAATTTTCTTAAACAATATAATGACAATTTTACTAATTACATATTATTTACATTATCAATTTGATAAATTTAGATTTTAATGGCTCATAAAAGAATTTAAATTGGAATATGAGTACGGTGATGTGTTTAGAGAGAAAAATGTTGATGGGGTATTGAAAAATAGGGGTGTCCGTTCGGTTTTCGGTTTGGATTTAGTCTAAATCCGATCCAATCCGAAATATAATTCGGTTTTCAATTTTCCAATCCGATCCGATCCGAATTTCTCTCTTGATCCAATCCGATCCAATCCGAATTAAAATTCGGTTATTTGGATCCGATCCGAAAATCCGAATTATAATACATTATTTTTTTAGCGCCTAATACAATTATAAAAATAAAGCTTTACTATAAATAAAAGTCTTCAAAATCATGATTAAAATACACAGTTAAACGTTAAGTCATTAATTAATTAATACAAAGTCTCTCTAATTTATTTTATGTAGTATTATGTATTTGAGCTAAATTTCAAAATATACAAAATATACAAGCTTAATTTTACAATTCGGTTTTTGGTTTGGATTGGATCCAATTAGGGTCAATCCGATCCAATCCGAAAATCAGAATTTCCAAAAAATCTCAATCCGATCCGATCTGATTTAAAGTTCGGATCCGATCCGAATTGATAATTTGGTTTGGATTGGATTGGATTTCGGTTTTTATCCGAATTATGGACACCCCTATTGAAAAAGGTAGGAGAGAGGATGGAGAAGAATTTTTTTTTATTTTTATTTATCATTGTTGAGATAAAAATATGACCACAAAGTGGATAGAGAGAGAAAATAAAGGAAATGTTTTTATGCTCATTGTAGTGAATGCTCTTATTGTATAATGTTTTTTTTAAAAAATAAGAATGCTCAACTTTTAGTCTTCCTGTGTTCACTAATTAAATTTCATTATATTATTTCAAAAATCTTACCATTTTATAACCATTTTTTTTTTTACAAAAAAAGAAAAATTCTCCTTTAATGAAATGAAAGAAAAGGAATTTCCCAACGAGTAAAAGGAAAATGAAGAAAAGTCTTGGTTGTAGTCTTGTAAAACATATAAAAATCAAGAATCTAGTGCACCATGCAAATACATCCATTACTAGATGATTATAAGATTCCAGAATTCCACAAATTACGTACTCACCTTTACTATGCTTACTAAAGTACTACAGTAATAACTTAATTAATGTAATAATTCACCTAAAAAAGGACATTAGCATAAGATAGACGATTAGAAAATGAAGAAAAATGTACATATTCTCAATATTCAAATGAAGTTGTATTTTTACATTTAAGACAGTCCAAGAGTAAAAATAAATCATCCTTTTCAACCCAACAACTAGGCTGCGCACAAAATTGAGGAGAGAGAAAATGTGGGATTCCATTCTTATGGAATCACCATCAACCTCTGAAAAGAAATTTATTTATTATTCCCACCACAAAAATAACAATAGTACCCCATTAATATATTTTTCTACCCAGTATTAAATAAATTTTTTAACCCACATAAAAAATAAATATAAAAAACAAATCTTTTTTTTTATTATTTTAACTTTTTTGGGAGATTTATCTAATCAAAATCACATCTTTATCTCTCTCTCCTCTTCAATTGAAAGGAAGAGAATACAAGAAGAAGAAGAGGAGGAGAGAGAGAGAAAATAGTGTGTAAAGTTTATAGAAGTCATTGATTGATTATGTCCGAAGCAGCAGCAGCAACAGCAACATCAGTTGAAGAAGGTAATCAGACGGCTGGGATTAAGCCATCATATCATCATCATCATCATCAAATTCCAAGAACTCGGGAGCTACAATCTGGTGTGACGCAGCTACACCTTGACCCTTGTTCTTCAACTTTCATGGACCTTGATTTTGGGGATCTAGATGCTTCTTGGTCGTTTGATCAGATCCCTACTTCACCTGTTTTGATTTCTACTTCTGACCAGCCTTTTTCTCCTCTTTGGGCTTTTACCGACGGTTCTGCCGCCGCCGCCGTTAACTTTTCCGACGACCGGAATATTCCCGGAATTCGGATTCCGGCTGAGCTTGCTCGGTTTACTCCTTGTATGATACTTTACTCCTTTTCTTGTCTTGTATAACTGGAAACTTTTGATTGGATTGAATTGACTTTACCTAGTAATGTTTGTTGGGGTTTTTCTAGTAAATTGAAGAAATTATATATTAAATGAGGATAAAAATTTATGGGTTTTTTTGGGAATTTTTTTAACCTTTGACTTTATGTTAAATTGTTCAAATTTAGGAGTGTCAATGGTGGATGAGTTTATAAGAATACTGGGTTCATGCCTTTGACTTCTAGGGGATTGATTGATTAATTGATTGATTGCATATCTTGTAGTATCAAAGTTGAAAAGCATTGAATATTGGATTGATTTTGTAGGGTAGTTACTGAATATTGAAATTTTTGTTTGTGATATGTTAGTTTGGTTGATTGTGTAGGTAATCCAGAACCTGTGGTTGAGAATGGAGGGAATGAGGGTGGTGAGGAGGAAGATGATAAGAAGAAGATTCCGAGTCCGGGTTTAGGACATACTCCACTGGATAGCTTTGATGTATCATTTATAATCAAAGAGAGGATGACACAGGCACTTAGGCACTTCAAAGAATCAACTGAACAAAATCAGATTTTAGCTCAGATTTGGGCACCTGTAAAGAGTGGGAACCAATATGTGTTGACAACATCAGGGCAGCCCTTTGTGCTAGGGCCTCACAGTAATGGATTGAATCAATATAGGACCGTTTCTTTGATGTATATGTTCTCGATTGATGGTGAGAGCATAACGACTCTTGGGTTGCCTGGCCGTGTTTTTAGACAAAAGTTGCCAGAGTGGTCACCTAATGTGCAGTATTACACCAGCAAAGAGTATCCAAGGGTTAAACATGCCAAGCATTATAATGTTCGAGGGACGTTGGCTTTGCCCGTACTTGAACCTTCAGGGCAGTCTTGTGTTGGTGTGCTTGAGCTCATAATGACTTCGCAGAAGATTAACTATGCTCCTGAGGTTGATAAAGTCTGCAAAGCTCTTGAGGTTAGTTTATCTTTGTTCACGAAGGCAAAATGCCTAATGTCTTCTATCCCCTTTCGCTTGCTCTTTGCCTCATTTTCTATCCCCTATTTTGATCAAGATATGTCTGATTTGATTTTGGTTGAATACAGATTGTGTCATTGATCTTGAATAAAATATTTTAACGCATCTTGAGCCCAAATATCAGGCATTATGCTTGACTTAATACATTGTATGCTGCATTATACACATGGAATGAGATGTTAATAATGCTTCTTCCTGTAGCCAAAGAGATGGGAAGTCAATAGAAGTGTGTTATGGCTGAACTATGTTGCTTCCGTTTTGGCTGATTTCAAATTTTCAAATATGATTTATATTGAGCTCTTTCAAACCCTCAGGGGTAATGTTGGTCTGATGTTGAGGTATTGGAAAATTTATCATAGATTTTGTGTCGATGGTATGGAAATCTGTGTGCCCGAGTTCTATGGACTTGACAAGAAATATTCCAACAGAACTATGTTGGACTTGGGTAGAAATGTCCAACAGATGTTGGACTTGGCTGTTTTCAAAGACCTCTCGATTTTATTCGCCATTGAAGTATCTGCCACTCTGCCTCATATAAGGTGTAATTGACACCACTAATATAAATTAATCAAAAGGTGCTTGAACATAAAGCATGTCATGTTATTATGATTTTTCCAGCCACAACCCCTTCAGGATCCTGCTCCTAATTAGTTTATGGTTTTTGCAAAGCAGATTGAGGAACTAGAGTAAGAAGGATTCTCTGAGATATGGTTTATATATACCCTTCTTGCAATGTGTACTTATTTAGCAGAGATGGCCATTGGGCTCTTAATAGCCCTGAAAAAGTGGAAAGTTGTATATCTAGTTTACTCCCTCTATTTCTAATAAGTGCTTTGTTTCAACATAGGCACCATACTTTGTACTCAGTGTGAGATTTTGGTCAAAATTTCTTATTTCACTAAATTAGTCCATCTGTATAAGATCTTTCAAGTCAATCAATTTGAAAAAGGAAAAATGGAAGGGAAGGGTGTATGCTCTTCTTAAGCTGTCTTAAAATTTTAAAAATATTGCATGTAAACAACCTGTGTTTTCTGTCAGCAATTCAACATATGCTTAGACATTTATTTATTTTATTTTTTTGAAACAAGCATATGCTTAGACTTTATACTGTCTTTCTGCTTTCAAACTTCAACAAGGTCTAAATTGCGTAATTTCAATTCTTTTGCAGGCTGTAAATCTGAAGAGCTCAGAGATATTGGATCATCCTAATATCCAGGTAAATGATCTTGCAATGCTTAAGTTCCAGTGTCACCATAATCTCTGAAGACTAATATGACAATGATGTTTGTCCAGATCTGCAATGAAGGTCGCCAAAATGCACTTGCGGAAATATTGGAAGTATTGACTGAGGTATGTGAAACCTATAAATTGCCACTGGCGCAAACTTGGGTTCCATGCAGGCATAGGAGTGTTCTAGCCTATGGTGGTGGTGTGAAGAAAAGTTGTTCCAGCTTTGATGGAAGCTGTATGGGACAAGTATGCATGTCCACCACTGATGTCGCATTCTATGTTGTAGATGCTCATATGTGGGGCTTCCGAGAAGCCTGTGCCGAGCATCATCTTCAGAAAGGGCAGGGTGTTGCTGGGAGGTCATTTTCATCCCATGGTTTGAGTTTTTGTCGAGATATATCACAGTTTTGTAAAATTGAATACCCATTGGTGCACTATGCTCGTATGTTTGGGTTAACTGGAAGCTTTGCTATCTGTTTAAGGAGCAAACATACAGGAGATGATGATTATATTCTTGAATTTTTCCTCCCTCTTGACTTAAAAGACACTACAGAGCAGCTTAAATTGCTAGGCTCCATATTGGCTACAATGAAGCAGGATCTCCAGAATCTAATGGTAGCTTCTGGAAGAACTCTGGAAGAGGAAAGGAAATATATGGAAATCATTGAAGTGTCCGCAGATGAGAATCAGGACCTACAAGTTGAATCTAATTTGTCGACTAACCCTCAATCTGTGGCTGAAACAATAAATGGTGTACCACCGCCGCTAAATATATCCCAGCCCCAGTTGGTGGAACTTGATTCTAGAAATGCTGGAAAAAGTGTTGTTGGAGCTGGTCAATGCCACAATGGAATCTCTGTAGTTGAAAATAAAGAGCCCAAGAAAACCTCAGAAAGAAAACGTGGAAAAGCTGAAAAACAAATTAGCTTGGAGGTTCTTCAACAGTATTTTGCTGGGAGTCTTAAAGATGCAGCAAAAAGCCTTGGAGGTTAGTCTTTATTGCAATCTATTCATTATTTATTAACATGGTTAAGTGTCTTATCTTAACGGCATTTTTCTGTAAGGTTATGTCTGTTTATTACATTTGGATAACCAGTAATTAAGGGTTTTGCATTGTATTTGACAGTGTGTCCAACAACGATGAAGCGCATCTGTAGGCAGCATGGCATATCACGTTGGCCATCTCGCAAGATCAATAAGGTGAATCGCTCCCTTACAAAGCTTAAGCGTGTGATTGAATCTGTCCAGGGAACTGATGGAACATTTAGCTTGACTTCCTTAGGTCAACCTACTATCCCCGTTCCTGTTGGGTCTATTAGTTGGCCTGCTGGTGTGAATGGAACTTATCAACAACAATCACCAACTTCTAAATCTTATGATCTTCCAGATGAAAGGAGTGAGGTGCCACAGTTTAGCCAAAGAGTCGATAGGCAAACCAGCGGCAGGGAATCAAGTCATGAAGAAAGAACTCATGAGCAAAACGAGTTTGTGTCTAAAGCAGGGAGTGGATCCCGAGAAGTAAGTGCAGGGACATCAACTTCTCATGGATCATGTCATGGAAGTCCTGGAATTGAAAGCAACCCACCAAATGGCCATTTCATTCCCAACTTTCATGATCAAATAGGTAACTCTACTGGTATGATGGGTCAACTAAATGGAGAATCACATATGGTTTCCGGCTACTCAATGCCAGACGCCCTCCTTGCAGCACATCATCCTCGAGAAGCCTTTGGGGGCATGCCTCTTGAGGATGCAGGAAGCTCAAAGGATTTAAGAAATCTATGTCCTTCAGCCAATGACACCAATGTAGAAGAAGTCATTCCGGAACATGGGTGGACAAATCATCATTGTCCTATTCCATCTCCCAGAGTGTCTATGAGTCCTGCTGGTATGATGCCCAGATATTTAGCTCGGCAAGATATGAATGCTGTTACCATAAAGGCCACATTTAGAGAAGATATTATCAGATTTAGATTCTCTTTGAACTCCAATATTGTGGAGTTGAAGGAGGAGGTGGCAAAAAGGTTTAAACTCGAAGTGGGAACATTTGAGATAAAATATCTCGACGATGATCACGAGTGGGTTTTCATAGCTTGTGACTCTGACCTACAAGAGTGCTTAGATATTTCAAAATCATCAGGAAGCAATATGGTGAGACTGTTGATTCAAGACGTATTAGGTAATCCTGGAAGTTCGTGTGAAAGCTCGGGAGGTTGAAAACCATTTGAACAGTTAGATACTTGCATAGATTGTAATCCATTCTTGTAGTAGTATTAGGATGGTGGGCAAGTCAGAATTTGTAGATGGGTGTATCAGTTGGTTGTTTATGCAAGCTGTATATAGTTTGCTGGTAATATTTAGGGGTGAGCACAATGTGGATGTTGTTCTCTTTTGCCTTCAGTTTTGCTAAATTTTTGTTCTCTGTTCATTGTAATTGTAAACAGAACATTTTCAATTATAAGACATGTTTTTCTGGAAAGAAAACAATTGCTTTCCACTGGTTAGTCCTGTCATTTAACCAGCCATGAATTTGACTGTTCTGTTGTATAATACTTGTAAACTCGTAGTATATCAGTATATGGGTGTGTGGCTTGCATAGATATGTGGGTGACGTATAATAAAAAAATTTACCATTAATGGAAGAAGCTCTTTTTTTTTTTTTTTTTTTAATAGGCTGTTGTTAAGAGAGCCACAAAGAAGGTTGATGAGAATTGATCTCAAAATCGAACCACTTGAGCTACGGAGCATTAATTATTTTGAACTACGAAGCATTACAAAAAAATTTGAATGTATGGCTATTTAATGTTTTTGAGGCTCACAACCTTGCTGCTAAAGCAAGGTGGAAGTCTTAGCTCTCTTGTATGCTTTTTAGGTTTGTCCAAAATAATACATAAATAAATAAATAATAATAATAAATAAAATAAATAAATAAAAAAAAAAACATTTTAAACTTAAGTTCAAATACGCTATTTTTGTACAGGGATGCTATATTTTACTCCGTATTTATTTGTATAAAAGATTTTAACAGATAAAGTAGACTATTTACGAACTTATAGTTTCAAACTCTCAACCATCAACTTTGTCTATAGAATTGCAAGAAACCCAACCAAATGATTCGGACAAAATCTCACATAGCAGTTCAATTTCGTAGAGTTTTTTTTTGGTCTTTGAAGAGCCACAAGGGCGAATGAAGATAATCAATCTCTTAGAATTGGGAGGGACGCTTTAATCAACTTAGCTATCCCTCACTCTCAGTTAAATTTTGTAGAGTGCTTAGAAAGTGCAAGTATCTGTCTAAGCGCGATTGCATCTGAGTGTGATGTGCCATTGAGAAAACTCCCTGTGCAACAACGAAAATAGTGTGGCATTTCCTAACCCTGCAAATGCTCATCAACATCTCCCATAGCTTATGAATGGTGCATCTCGACCTATGTACATTATCAAGTTATGTACTTAGAAGAAATTATAAGTTCAGGCAGTTTTGTTGAGAAGGGCTGTAGGCTACTTATAACATTACAAGCAATATTCTTGGCTTGGGTAGTTTGTTATTGATTGTTAAAGTCATAATTGGAGAATGAACCAACTACTTCGTAAATTTTAATTTTCATTAGGGTGGGCACGTTAACCTTTTTGTATGTTAATGGTCGGAAGGTGCAGTTGAATTTTGACTTGCTCCTTGGGACTTGATCATTTTGCTGTATAGTTGAAAATGTTATTAGCACATACATCGGATCTCTACTAATCAAATTCTCTTCTAGCTCCACGTTCCTGCTCATAAACAAAATGTCAACGACCGGAGCTCGTGATCAATATGTGTGGTCACTTATGAGGAAGAAGTGGATCCTGGTATGCTCCCGCGGTATATCTCCTTCTGGTCAGCTCTGTTTGAAGGGGGATCCGGGGCCTTGGATTGAAAATAACCCTGCGTCTCTTTTGTTAGTTCAATGTTTGGAGTTGGATTTTGCGAATAATGATGTTGAAGGAGAGATAGCAGATTCAATAAGGGAACTGTCAAGGCTCACCCACCTTTATATCTGTTTTTGTACAATCTTGAAGTGCCTTCCTAACGCCATCACTAGGCTACACAACTTGAAAGTATTGCAAGTTGAATGTTGTATCAAACTGGAAGAATTGCCAGCAAATATAAGCCTCTTAGAGAGCCTAAGACATCTCTCTCTTTCGAGTTGTTTCCGGCTCAATTCTGTTTCTAGCATTACAGGACTTCACAACTTGCAAAAATTAGACCTCAGACATTGTTACAATCTCACAGAATTGCCTGCTGATTTGGGTGATGAGTTGCTAGAATTGTTTTACATTGATATTCAAGGTACTGCCATCAAGTGCCTACCTGGTAGCATTACAAAGCTATGGAATTTGCGATTCCTATTACTCCCCTGGTCTTTCAGACTTGAAACATTGCCATACGATTTAAACGAGTCCATCGTCGTAGCTTTTGCAGATATGCACATTCGAAAAACCTGGAATGCACTCAGAAAAGAGATTGCTCCTTTGTCATTTCCACTTCTTGGAGGTATAGCAAGTCTTTTCTTATTATGTTCAAAAAGAATTTGTCACATATTGTCAGTTTTTTTTCTCCAATTTTTGTAAGTACTATCTATTGAGCTTTTTTCTATTGCTGCTGTTGAAATTACAGCAGAAGCAGCTCATAATCAATGCAACTGCTCATATGAGAGAATTGCTTGTCCCTCCATTGTATTTCCTTGGGGATACCTCCAGTTGAAGGGAGACCCGGGGCCATGGATTCATTGTCACTATGATTCTCATTCGCTGGTGCGTTTTCTGGACTTAGACTTATCATGTGATACAGATCATATATCAGAGTCCATAGGGGAACTTGCAGAGCTCACTCATCTCTACATTTATAATAGTTCATACCTTGAGCACCTCCCTAAAAAAATCGCAATGCTACAGAAGTTGGAACTGTTGAGTGTTCAATATTGTGATGTTGAATTGCCACCAGACTTGAATCAGTTAGTCAGCCTTAGACACCTTTCTCTTGCAGCTAATGGCGTCGAACCCATCATTTATGGCTTAGAGAAGCTATCCAATTTGGAAACTCTAAATCTCCAAGGATCATTTAATTCCCTCACAGAATTGCCAATAAATTTTGATAAGTTGGTCAGTCTTAGGCATCTATCTCTTGGATATTGTGAGATCAAGTCGCTTCCTGTTAGCATCACAAAGCTGTCTAATTTGACAACTTTGTATCTCTACGAATGTCCTTCACTCAAAGCATTGCTGGAAAATTCAAGTTTCAGAAGGCTCAAACTTAAAAATTGCAGCATAATGACACTTCCAACAGGTCTCTGCCATCTTGAAATCTTACATTTTAAGGACTTTTGTGAGGAGAAAACTGCATGTGATATCCAGGAACAATTTCTGGACCATTTAATCAACCTGGAGACACTTTCTATTACATGCTACCGCATCAAGTTCCTTCCAAGCATTGCAAGACTACGAAACTTACAAGAATTACGACTCAAAGACTGTTTCAGCCTCAAGGAATTGCCAGCAAATTTGGATGAGTTGATCGGATTGTGTATACTTGATATTAGCGGTACCAGAATCAAGTCACTTCCTTATAGCATCACGAAGCTGAACAATTTACAATGCTTAATCCTTCCGAAGTGTTTCAGACTTGAAAGTTTGCCTAGTAATATGAATAGTTCTGTCAGGGTTTTTGTTGACAACACAGATGACACATATTATGAGAACCTGGGCTACTATGACTGTCTAACCTCTGCAAAAGCCTCAACTGAAGGTAATTAGATTCCAGCAGGTTCTTTGAGGGGTTGATGTAGTCAGTAATTTGAGAAAGCGATTACAGGACAAGAAATCATTGGCTAGCGGCTAGCACACATAACACTATAACAGCACAAAGAGCTGAATCTGTGTGACGCTGATCAAGGGCCAATTGTCATTCTCTGCGTCACAGCTCTTTTACATTCAAGATAGTGTGTCATGCTCAAGTTCTTGGAAACGTTGGAGATGTGCTTCCAATACTCCGTATAATAGCACTTTAGGTGATTATCAGCTTTTTTGTGCAAAATAGATTATCAGCTCTCCCATTTTCAATTTCTCTAATATCTCTTTTAGGAAACAAAGAAATACTAATTTGCTATTGTGGTTGTAGAACCTGAATTCAGACTAGCAGTATCTAATTGTAGAAATGCTTCATAATTAGGCCTGCGAGTAGTCAACTTCATACAGTATTACTTTTACAGATGTACACCTTCAACTTCAAACCCATCTCTATATCTACTGCTTCAGATGTTGCTTTTGAAAATCACTGATTGAATGAATGAACATGAAAACAGCTTAAAATCACTCTTTTGGATCATATCTATGTTTTTGATCAATAAACATCTAAATAGATGTTGCTTTTGAAAATCACAAGCTCTTACTCTGAAAAATTAATGAACTCAGTCAAATTGCTACCAATGAATAAATAGCATCAAATAAGTAAATAGAAATCAAAGAATCTAATACAAGTATCAATCCAAATTGCAATTTACAAAGAGCTAAAAAATGTAGTAAAAGACCAATTGAGCTGGTATAAGCAGAATACTATAATAACTTATACCCAGAAAGATCTTAAAACTGCTTTTGTCAAAAAAAAAAGCGTCAATTAATTTAGCATCAATTGAAACTGAGAACAAACATGTTAAAAAAGCAATATATATTTCATATATTCGATTCAAATTTCCAATTACATCAGAAAGTAATTAAAACTTCTTCAAACTACACTTAGATCTAAACACAAACCCTAAAAACAGTACAAAACCCTAACCACCAAAACCATAAAGAGTACGGCCTTGCCTCTTAAGAGCGTACACAACATCCATAGCAGTAACCGTCTTACGGCGAGCGTGCTCGGTGTAAGTAACAGCATCCCTGATGACATTCTCCAAAAATATCTTCAAAACACCACGAGTCTCTTCATAGATGAGGCCGCTGATCCTCTTAACACCGCCTCGACGAGCAAGACGACGAATGGCGGGCTTAGTGATACCCTGAATGTTGTCTCTCAACACCTTCCTGTGCCTCTTGGCACCTCCCTTTCCGAGACCCTTTCCTCCCTTTCCTCTTCCTGACATTTTCTCTCTCTGAAAATTTGTTGGTTTATTGAGATTTGGTTTTTCTGGGTTTTGGTTTTGGTTGTGATGGTAAATGGTAAGTGGGGAAAAGGGGTTTATATAGGGAAGGGGGAAAGGGTGTTTGAAATTTTTGAAATTTTGGTTTTGGAGGGGTTTGTTCCGCGCTTGTTTTTGATCGTTGGATGTGTTTTAATCGGACGGTGTATATTGGCGATCCGTGTCGATTGTTATTTTTACTTTTGGAGCGTTGATGCTTTATATCTGACGGTTGGATGTTGCTGGTGAATGCGTTTTGGATTTGCCTTGGGTATCTGAGAGTTCAGGAACCGAGACTATATACAGAGTACTACATACAAAAAAAATACTCCAATAATAATAATCTTCCCTAATACGGCAATTTTATTTCTTTTTCTTTTATTGTACTCAAATACACCAAATGGTCCATATTTAAATATTATGCTGCACTAGTTACTCGTACAAAATTATTGTTGTTAATGTAAAATTATCCTTCAATAGTTCAATTTATACTCAGTATTTTATATTCACATTTTCTTTCATAGTGTAATGAATTAATCTTCAATTCTTCATATTCTTAGGTCCTGTTCTTTTGAGCTTCTGGGCAGAGCAGATTGAAGCAGAGCAGGACAGAGCAAAGCAGATTGAAGTAGGGCAGAGCAGATTGAAGCAGCTATTTTTAAGTACTACACATTGAAAATAATTCAACAAAGGTCAAACATGACAATTTTATATTTTATAGAGTAATTTTTTTTTTTGAAGAGAAATATTTTATAGAGTATATAAGTAGCAATAGACAGTATTTTAACAAATACAAGTAATATAGCACGGGAGTTGGAAAAAAATGAAAAGGCGTACAAAGTAAACTCGACAATCTTTAAAACAATAAAAAATAAATAAATAAATAAATAAACTAGCCCAAGCTCATTATCCTCTTGAAATATTCAGGCTAAGACCTAATGTGGCTCCGAAACAATAACCCAAAACGCGAAGTGACTCGCCATATATATATATATATATATATATATAAAGGGGAGTTTTTCCCGAGTTTTTAAAGAGCCACGTAGGATTTAATTATCTTAACGCGCCATGTAGGATAATAAATTATAGTGGTAACCAATTAAATAAGAGATTATTAATTTCTTTTAGAATTAATTAAATCAAATGTCACGTAAGAAAAATTGACGAATCATATTTTTAAGTTTTTAATTATATCATATTTTTAAGTTTAAATTAATTAAATATAAAATATTATCTTTTGATTTTATGAATTTTATCTAAATATGTAACAAATTTTAGCACATAAATAAAAAATATATATATATTTTAGAAAATTCAAACAAATCGTGCATCACACGAGCTTCATCTAGTTTACCCAAATCGAAAGTAATTACCTAATACCCAAAGTGACCCAACCTTGATTTTAACTCAAATAACCCTAATATCTTGACACCTAAATTGATCTCAACCTGAATTAATTAACTCAAGTAGACCAGAAAATCGAAATTAAAAAAAAAAAAACCGAACAAACAAATTGAATCAACTTGTTTTTTTAAATCAAAATATTACCTCCGTTTTTTTTTTTTTTGTAACACCTTTCTTTATAACGTTTGTGGCGCTTGCTAATAAAATATTTTAATGATTAATATCTCTATCTCGATAATGTAAAATTATAAAAAGTGGTTATTAATAAAATATATATATATATATATTAAGACGATTTAGACAATATCTCACTTGATTATGTCTAATCACAGCTATTAATAACAAAAAATAGTCAAAGTGTAGTTTGTAAATAGTATAAAAGTCAAGTGATGTCAACTTAAAGGACACCGGAGGAAATATTTTTATTGTACAAATTGCATACTTTGAGTATTCCCTTTTAAGCCTTGAATTCACTTATCAAATTTGAAATTCAAAACAACCTATTTTCTTAATTATTCGAATTCTAAAATATTTTATTGTTCAAATGTTGACTTGATTTGAAATGACATGATTCAAACTTGACCTGGTCATGAAAATCTAAAATGGTTCTATCCGATCGAACTTGACCTGAAATCCAACTCAACCCAATCAACTATCACTCTGACACACCCAAAAAACAAACTGGACCAACCTGACCCGAAGTCATAGTGGACTTGAAATTATCCGACCCATATATATATATATATATATATATATATATATATATATATATATATATATATATATATATATATATATATATATATATATATATATATATATATATATTGAGGGAAACTCATCGAGTAATTCATTAATCAAGAGACAAATTGTCTGAAAGTACATATGGTGTTACATCCGAAGGACAATGACTAATCCACACTTGTTCCACTCCAAAAGGAATCATCTTGGCAAGATGATGAGCTACCCAATTGCCCCCCCTTTTGACATGAGACCAAGTAAAAGAATTAAAATTACAACTTAGAGATAAAATGTCCTCAATCACACCATCCAAATCCGAGAAGAAAACTGCAGCATTCGAGAGACGTTTAATCAATACTTCACAATCAGATTCAAGCACAACATCCTGCAGTCCATAACTTCGTGCAAGCTTCACTGCCATAAGAAGTGCTTTTGCTTCTGCTATCTCTGGTGGCCACCACGCACGCACTCTCCTGGTTGCTGAAAATAGGACTTCTCCCACATGATTTCGAGCAACCACACCCATCCCCACCCACCCCTCTGTCACCAAACAAGCATCTGCATTGAGCTTGATAATCGGATCAGATGGTGGCATCCATCTTGAAGGGCTTCGCCTGGGAATAGGCCTTGTCGTGCCATAAATCTTCTTAGCATATGCTCCATATTCCTCAACCAACCTCTTAACACGTTCCAGTAGTATTGTGTTAGGGGTGATTTTGCCCTCGAAGACAAAATAGTTGCGTTCAGACCAAATAGCCCACGCCAAATAGGCTGCGGTTTGCATTTTCTTCAAGTCTTTTGTACTCAAACTCGTAACCATGTCACAGAAGGTACCTGTTGTATCTTGGATTATCTCCTCGCAGCCACTCTCTTTCCACAACTCAGCCACTCGCACACAATCAAAAATAGCGTGACGTGCAGTTTCCTGCTCATCACACCACGGGCACTTAGCGCTCTCCATCAGGTGGCGCTGCTGTAACAGCACCTTAGTTGGTAGCGTGTTGGTGCAGAGGCGCCAAAAGAAATGACGAACCTTGGGGGAAGCATCCATTCCCCAGATTCCCACCCAATCTTGGTGAAAATCGTCGAGGTTACACCCTTTGCCAATCATATAAGCAGTTTTTGTAGAGTAAAGTCCATCATTCGAAAATGCCCAAGTGATTATATCCTTCGTAGCACACATGTTCAGAGGAATAGATAGGATGCATTTTTTTATCTCGTTCTTCGAATTTTGTTGAAATCAGGTCATAATTCCACTCCATTTCCCCGAAGTCTATCAAGTCACACACGTGGGTAATACCCTCAAGCCTCGGGCTCAAGACAAACCTACCATCAGAATCTGCCAGCCAGGGATCGTCCCAAATACGGACATTAGAGCCATTACCAATTCGCCAAATGATACCTTCCTTGAGGAGAGCCTTGCTGCTCCAAACACTCCTCCAAGAATAGCTTCCACCAACCCCCAAATATGCCTCCAAAAAGGAGGTTTTT